CAGCCGCTCCGTCCTCCCGCTCGCTCCCTGATCCACCCATCCCGCTTCCAGCACCAGCTCCCGGGATCCTCAAAGCTCCCGCACGGACCTGGGGCACCCCGAGGTCTCCTCTGACATTCACACTCACATTCTGCAGCGTTCAAGAGGAAAAGGTTGTTTGATGGCACTCAGTTAAGCAAAGACGTTTAATTGACCTGGCGAACCCAGTGTTGCTAATAAGGGAGAAGCTTTTACACACGGATGGTTCTAGAAACAGACAGATGCTGCTTTGCCATTTGCAAGGTAGACGACAAGCCTTTACTTGCTTTTTTTCCACACAGAACTATGAAGTGCCCACACGAGGCTGCTCATCCTTGAGGGCAGCCCGGAGCATAGGAAATGGCCCGGTTCAGCTCCCTCTGCCCAAGGGGCTGCTGCTTCACTCGTGCCTCAGCTTTCGTACCTGGAAAAACTGCAGGTGAAAAATGAGATCTTGAAGCCAGTGAAAGGACCTCTCACCCTGAGAATTCATAAAAATACATCTTAAAAATGGTCTTAATGTGCACACACACTCCACCCTGCCTCTAATACCCAGAAAAACAGGACATTTTTGATTCTCCAGCTACGTGCCAGCTCTCCAGAAGAGATCAAGACCTTTAAGGTTCCAGCACAGACCACCTACAATCTTGCCAGTTCCAGAACCGTGTGCTAGATACCTACTGGCTGATGGGTTTTTTTAACTGACTCTGATCTTAACGAGTCAGACAGAAGCTGAGCATAGTCAAGGGACTATGAATGGTTGTTTACTTAAAATACAAACATCTGGATTAGACAAACTCATCGGGGAAAGCTTCATTACATACTAGGGGAAAAGCAAAGGGAAAAGTGTTGTCAGTAACAAGCACCAGCGTGTGAAACCCCCCAACCAACCCGACACTTCACAGTCCAAGGAAGCATCAGTGCAGGAGCTCGCAGACACTGGGGGGACCACCAACCTGTGACCCCCACAGCGCTTTATAAACCCAGCATTTCACTTGGTTACTGCAGTGTTAACAAGCCCCTTTCTTGGTAATTGTATTCAACTTGGTAATTTCTTCTACTTGTCCAAACATGACTTCTGCTTCACGTCCCAGGTTCAAGTTTAATTGATGATGTTAAGGGCTTTTTACTCAGTCTAAACCCCATGGAAGTACCTACTGAGTCTCTAGACCACCCTCATTCATGCTCTCCAAAGTGGGCTGGCACTACCCATCACCCCAGTTAGCTGCAGGATCTGTGTCCAGGTTGCTAGATCCGTTTTAGATATCTACCCAACTCCAGACACTGCCAGGTGATGGCTCAGGCATGACTGTCCCTTGCCAAGGGCAGGGTGAGAATCCTGAAGCCTACCAGCTGGCAGAGCTGGGCCTCAACAGCTGGTGACCTGCACTACCATGGACCAACTCACAACTGGATGGACAAGCCTAAGCAGTGCTCCTGACCCAAGGGACACCCTGTGGCACAGGTCATCCCTGTAAGGCTTACTGGACACATTAATGGATCACATTTAGAATCACAGAATCATAAAGGTTGGAATAGACCTCCAAGATCATCAAGTCCAACTGTTAACCCAATGCCACCACACCTGCTAATCCACATCCTCAAGTGCCACATCTACACGTTTTCTGAACACCTTCAGGGATGGGGACTCCACCACTGCCCTGGGCAGTCTGGTCCAATTTTATCATATATCCAACCTAAACCTCCCCTGATGCAACTTGAGGCCATTGCCTCTCGTCCTATCGCTGGTTACTTGGGAGAAGAGACCAATGCCCACCTCACTACAATCTCCTTTCAGGCAGTTCTAGAAAGCAATAAGGTCTCCCCTCAGCCTCCTCTTCTCCAGACTGAACAACCCCAGTTCCTTCAGCTACTCCTCATCAGACTTGTTCTCCAGACCCTTCACCAGCTTCGTTGCCTTTTTCTGGACACGGTCCAGCTCCTCAATGTCCTTCTGGTACAAAGGACCCAAAACTGAGCACAGCACTCGAGGTGTGGCCTCACAAGTGATTCCATTCAATACGGCAAAGTCTCAGCTCTTCTCTTAAACTGGCCTTACTGTTCCATTTGAAGAATGAACAGGTTGGCGTTGAGAGGACATCCTTGCCTCTGGGTTACACAACAAAAGCTGAGGATCCATTCCCTCAAGATAAAACTAAGGAAGTCCTAGCCATTACTTTTGGCCATATAGAGCTTCAGACATGCGCAGCAGACCTTGACACCAGCCCTCCCCTTTGTGCATTGCCCTAGCCAAGACCAGACCACACACCTCTGCAAACAGGAGCTCCAGCTCTCCCTGGGAACTCCAGTTTGCAGGTGTCAGCGGCACGAGGCTCCTCACCACACAAGCTAGCTGCAGGTCTGGAGCTATTAGAAAACATATGGGGGAAACTGAAAATTGAGAGGCTCTTCAGCGTGACGCACAGCTCCCTATATGGCTCAGGTTTCTCTGCCCTTGGAGGTGCAGGTCTCCAACCTCCACGTGGGGACAGGGCACTCGCCCACCGACTACTGCCCTGCCCCACAAGCTCAGACCCCTCCGGGCAGCGTCTCCTCATGACACCTCAAAGCACAGCCACTTCTACTTGGACAACAGCATTATTCCTCGCTCCCTCAGAAGCGGAGGGAGGTTTGGGCCACTCATTTCCATCTCTGTGCAGGAGCCAAACACAACAGGCGCCGCTGCCTGTGTTTTGGGCTGGCTGGCCGGCAGGACGTCCTGCCCAGATATGGAGCTTCTCCTCACAGCTCCACTCTGGCCCCTCAAATATGCATAAAAGGAGATTTCTTAAAAAAAGATACACAAGACACTGCAAAAACCCAAACCCAGTAAGATAATGTGAAACAAATGCTCCCTGACTATCTTAGACTCCACCTATGCCCAAGCCCATCTGGTAACATCAGTGTTAAACAAGGAGATACTGAAGTTTAAGATAAAGAGTTTGAAGACATTTGTAATGCCCTTAAAAAAAGCCTGTGCCAACAAACTGCTTGGAAGAAAAGCAAATTCTGCTCACCATGACCAGATATACAACGCATTTTAAGATTTCTCTTTTGGCTCTTTGCATCTTCTAGCATTCTTGCTATTAAATGAGAGAAAGCAAGGCAGTGCAGAGGAAATTCTTAGGTAGTGAAATGATAGGAAATTGAGGCCACTCTACCCACAAAAACATCTCTGAACAA